CAGCAGCAACAGCAGCAACAGCAGCAACAGCAGCAACAGCAGCAACAGCAGCAACAGCAGCAACAGCAATACACGTAGTAGTTGCAACAGAAGCCATGTTGGCAAGAGAAGCAGAAACAGAGAAATGGAAAGAAAACATCAATATGAAGAGACCTCTTATTTTTGCTTTCATCTCCGGTGCAATGTGAATTCTCGTTCAGAAAATCCTATGTTATATTCCAGAGCATGAACTACGACGTTGTGGACAGCCAACTGCAGAGAACCCACACAGACAAAGGAACCTCCAAAGTAAGACAAGTTAGGTGTTGTCAGAGTTAGAGTTGTTGTTGTTGTTTGTTTGGGTTTATTGTCCTTTTTTATTTCGTTTGTTTTTCGGGGTTTTCTTACACTCTGTGCCCTTGTGTTGTTTTTATTATTTCACGCACCTGTTCAGATGGCAGAGTTTGTTTTAAATGAAGTTATGGCGTCTCTGGAATTGAATTAGTAGGTCCTACCTCTTAAATTGTGACCTTACATTGCTACTAGAAAAGCTAAATTATTACCATATTGATGCAGTTTATCGATGAAACCACTGAACAGGAAGAATAGCACCGGTGTCTGTGGTGTAGCGGTTGAGTACTTCGCCTTCTTACGCAGAAAGCCGAAGTTCGAATCCCATGTGGAGAGAATTTTTATCGAAAATCTTGGTCTTCCTGCTTGGACGTTGTAACTCTCACAGTTTGGGTTTGCCCTGACAGGCAAGATCGAAGCCCGCCTCCTAAATGAACTAAATTGTGTCCATGGATGCGTAAAACATCTACATTTAAAACGAGTGGGATGGGAGGGGGGAGTAGAATAGGAGGGGAAACGGACATGTGAGCAGACACTGGATAATAGAGTATTGCTGGTTTCGTGACAATGAAGATAAGCTCTTCTGCACTCCTTCTTTCCGATTGCATCTTAATCTGCCATAATCATAGTGCCCCACGACTCATTCAATGATGACAACTTTGAGCAAATTTTGTTTTATTTTACCTCATAAGTGATAGTTAGATTTGGAAAGATCTTATCTCACAAGTGAAAAAAAACCCACAAAAAACAACAACACAATCCCAATTATCACGACTTGCTTCTTTGTTCTTTCCTACAGAAAAGGTTGGCTTTGACGTGGCTGAGTTCTTGGTTGATCTATTTTTTCATCGGCATCGGAACTGCCTTCTTGGCGGCTGGGGTTCAAATCTCAGTAGAACTTGTAGCTGAACAGAAATTCGGCTTGATCAGAGACTGTATCTTTTACTGAAAGTACTCGAAAATTTGAAAACGGTGATAGTATGTTCTGTCTTAGTATGCTCATGTTCACAATGTTTTGCTGATGCGTGGGGCGTTTGTAAACGTATGCGTGCGTGCGTGTGAGTGTGTGTGTGTGTGTGTGTGTGTGTGTGTGTGTGTGTG